CGTCCTAACTCGAAAAGTTGATCAACCCAATCGCGAAAGACGTCGTAAGGCTCGGACCGACGCTTCTTGTTGTCCCAACCAAAGAGGAATCCCCTACTTAAAGCCAGCACTATTACACAGCCAGTATGATGAATCAGAGCACACCGACGAGGTAGTCGGATCACCTCTCTGCCGTAAAGGTATGGGTAAGATCTCGCTCCTTCCAGTGAATAAGGCTCTTGTCAATAGCTGGGTCTGCCCTACGCAAGGAGACGGTCGTTAAGTCGTTAACTATCACCTATACGTACCGCTAGTCTTGCGTGCTCGTCTTCAGGCATTACTATGGTTATCAGGGTTAGTTGAAAGTCAAGCCATGGCCGATCATTTTTCGAAGCTAAGGCAAAATCTCGATTTTTGCTGGAACTCTGCCTTTAGGGGTGAATGGGTGTCCTGCTCAGGAATATGAAATTCGTTTTCAACGCAGGGCCAACCAGTTTGACCACATGACTTCTTTCTAATAAATTCATTACAACTTACGTTGCAGGGGTTATTGATGAATCAGATTACGAAAATGGCACGGTTTCGGAATCGTTTGATAAGATTCCATAATAAAACTCTCGATCGTATGTAAAACACATGTGCAAAGTCTTACGCAGGGACAGGATTCAAACTCACTACCCACAGCTTGCAGAGCAGGAGAATTCGGTGTTGACTGCCACAGAGCCACGTCAACACCGAATTTTCGGTCGCCTAGGCAATCTTTTGCCAACTTTAAAGGCTCACAACTTTTTTAGAAAATTCACGTAGCAGTTTTGATGTTCATATTTGTAATCAGCGTTCAAGACTCTATCGATAGACCTAGGTCTCCTTTCAAAGTTCCATGGGAAGTTCAAAGCATTCCCTTGTAAGTGGAGAAAAACTAATGGAATTGTTGGTTGGAATGAAACTAATTGGATAAACTAGGATCTAGAAATTTAAAGATTGTAATTTTAGGTCCCTTCTTACAATACTGACTCTTGATTCGTGCATCGGCAGCACAATATTCAATGATCAATGCCCTCCAACTGCATACACTTACAACACAACTGTTTTTCCTAAACTTACTGACTATTTAAAGTTTTCCATTAATTACAAGGTGAGTTCCTCGTAGAGTTAATCGTGGAGTACGTTCAGAATTTCGCCCTTCGAAAAGCAAAGCAGCCTCAGAGCACAGCCCATTAATGGCGTAGAAATCGGCTATGAAGTTTTATGAAATTGCAGTCAGAATTTCAGCTCCCTCTTCGCAATGAAGGTATGCAGTCCCAACACTAAAGACTTTGGTTCAGGTAGATCCATGTGAAGATTTCTATCAGTTCGCATGTGGGAGCTGGATAGCCAATACACCTGGCACGCCACAAATTTGGGGAGAAATATCGCCGTTCCACAAACTAAATGACAAATATAAGGAAGAACAAAGAAGTTTGTCGAATTGATTAATTCAATTAATAATTACAACAATAATGCTTTATTAATTAATTAATGATTATAATAATTAGTTAATTAATTTGATGAATACCAAGTTCGAATTCTGTGAAAGTCTAATTGATTTTCAATGGTTGACTTAAATCTGAACAGCCTCTGGTGATCGCTAAATGGTGATTTTCGAGTGCGCTAATTCAGTTGTGACTGCACTTATGAGAAGACTACCCCCGCCCCTGCCACACTCACTTGTCTGGAGGGAAATATCTCATGGTTGCGGTCCTGATTGTCGAATTCTCCCTGTTAGGCTCATCTAAGGCTAGTAAAGATTGTGTAGATCATAAACTTGAATAGTAACACTTTTGAAAGGTCATTCACCTTTGAACTCGTTTGCCTATAGGCGAAATAGGAGTTGTTCTAATAAATACGGCGAATAAAGTAAAATTATTTACTTGTTATAGTTAGTTAATTTACTAAATATAGTAATTACTAGTTGATATTTATAGAAGGTTTTGTGAGTGAATTGAAACTTTTTGGCAGATATATAATATTTATTGGTTACACAATCTAGTTGAGCCTCAAAGCTAACTTCGCCATGTAACAGTTTTTGTTAATTTTGTAGTTTTGGTGATTTTCGCACCGTGCAGTATAATTTGTGATTTTGCGCGGGTTTCCTCGATCTCCACTATTTCTGGAAGCCTCTGTTTTCCCCCACATCGACCCTTATATTATATGTACGGGTTTTCTCTGATTGTGATGCACAGTTTCGAGTTCTGTTCTCTGACGGTGAGCTCAGAAGTCATGCAAGATGAGCGGTTGCCGCAACCAAGTAAACGGGGTCACCCCGCGGGCCTCGTCTTCGAGCTCGTTGTGAGGTGACATGGGACCGCGTGAGGTCACCCGCAACTGAAGTCCTTCACTCATGGTTTTTAGATTTGATGGTAAATTCAGTCGAAATTCATTCCTCAATAAGTGGCACACTATGTACTCCTCATGATCGTCAAATTTCAATGACTGAAAATTTTCGTGAGCGGGAAATTGCAGGGACTCAAAAATGGATAGGTAGCATGCACTCACTGACAGATTGATAAGCAAAGAAGGAAAGAAAGCAAGAGTGAGCCGCAAATGCCTTATTAGCCAGGCGCTCATGTCGTTAAGGGGAACTTTAAAACAGGCCTTTAAAAACCGCTTATGGGTGACGCTAGGACTAGGCCTAGGAGAGTGTAAAAAGGCCAGAGAGAACAGCAATGACTCACATACTCCTCGGAATCTCTTCCCCTCTTTGAAGCTCAGTACCGTACTATAAGTGGCTCACTCACTGAATGTCCGGCCCCCTCTATCGACAGGAGCGCTCCCCCAACACCACGTACCCTGTAACCTATATTCAGTTCCCCTCAGTGCGAAGCTTGGCGTTCCTCCTCCTCACCTTATCCTCCCCTCCTCCCACTGCTCTCCAGCTGCCACTGCAGCACCTTGTGAAATGATTGAAAGTGTACTAAGTAGTGTTTATATAGCCGTTGGGGTACTATGTATCACAATCACGTTGAAATAATGCCTCAAGAGCGGATCAAGCCAATCTTGAAAACGGTGCACTCCCTCCTCTCTCCCTTTCGCCTCCCATCCTCCTCCTCCCCCCTCCTGCCCTCTCTCTTTCCTCCCCTCCCTCACTCCCTCCCCTCCGGCTGCCACGGCAGCACCATGTAGAATGAGACTGAGTGTGCTCGATCGGTGTTTATATAGCCGTGTGGTGTTATCATTTCATGACATCAACATCACGTTCACGAATCGTAGCCCTTCGAGCTCCCTGGTTCTGTTTTGTTTGTTCTGTTCCCACAAAGTTCTGGTTTACACAATGAAGCGATAGTGATGTATCCCCAGGATGAAGCAGCCATCTCTCGCGGATCGTCCTATGTCCACGGACATGCGTCATTTTTCGAAGACTAGTCTGGCGGCCGAATAAGCTTTGTACATGGAATACTTGAACTGGTTGCCATTTGTCCTTACTAGTGGACACCCAATACACTATTCGCTGGAACTCTAGCTAATCTAGCGGTTGGACAAGGTTTGATGTCAGTGACATTGAGATAGATACATCCAGTGCGTATCCTGCTTCCCCAATCATCAAGAAGCTCGGGAAAACTAGCGGTCAACGTAACAGGTCACACCTGCGTTTTAACGCCCTTACCAGCCGTAATCACTCTTGACCACTGTCAGATATGTTCTCGTCCCACCCGGGCTTCAGGCATTCTAACCCATAAGAGATAAGAGATAACGTCTGCTCTCGAGCACTCTACGCCTCTTGTCAGCTTATATCACTTACTGCATTCAATAATACGCAGTTATGATATTGCTCCGTCTTTTTATAAGGGGTAGACTAGCAAAGAAAGTTCGCCGACTATTCATCGCTCGCACTCTGGTGTAAACTTTTGAATTTAAAACTAAACGGTATACGTTATGCATTATAGGCCAATCACACAGATTGGTTGGGAGCGATAAGAGTTAAGTGTGTATACGAACTGAGAACCCGTAACAACTTAGTGTGTTGGCCACAGAGTTTGTTGACTCTCGCAGATCAGGTTTGAAGGACGAATCCACGCTGGAGAGGCAACCATTTCAAATTAAGTTAGGCGATGGTGAGTGGTACACGAAAGAAGGAAAACCATGAGAAACGGCCCAGAACCCGAGAAATGGGACCCCTTCCTTGCCCGTTGATTTGAGCATTGATGCGACTCTCATCGCTGTGCCCTCTTCAACGCTACGCTCTCTCACTATCTAATCACTCGCCACGTATAGACCTGCGGCGAGTGATCAGATGATCGGTGGGCGTGCACTGACCAGCCGCGGAGATTGAGCCTACGGAGGTCGCTGCAGGTCAATCCGCCTTCGGTGGCCAATTTGCGGCTTCAATCTGTTGCATGCTTTAAGCAGTGGTCGCGAGTCCCACAACTAGGTGAATTACTCCTTCTTCGACCTTCATCCTAATCGTGAATTCGTCCTTTAATGAAAGAAAGAGCACCTGGTCCAACACCGATGGCGTCCCTGAGCTAGTGTTCCCTTCTATGTAATCCTTGGGCGAAGGAGTGCTGGCTTCGAATGAGAGCTCAAAATCCCAAGCTGTTCAGAGTGGACGACAAACATGCATCGCAAAGGAGATGCTGCGTCCCCTTCTCTTCTCATCCTGAACTTCAACTTTTCAACTAAGGCAAAAATACGCTCTTTATAGCTCATGTGACATTACTCAGAAACCGCTACTTGAAGCTCTGACGTGAGATCCAAACAATGGCTGAATTTTGGGACAGCCTGAAATATTCAGTAACGACACTCTGAAGAAAGCTGCTCAAGTCATGGATTACACGTCATTTCAGGAGTGCTGGCTTCAAATGAGAGCTCGAGATCTCAAGCAATCACACAAGCTCGCAATTTCTATCATCGCTGTGTCGCTGCTGAACAACAATGGAACACCACAGGAAGTTCTGGAATAAAGTATGTAATGAGAAAAATCAGGGTGAGTCCTAACACCTGTGCTCTCTAGAAAGATTTAGGACGTTATAAAGGACGTTACCGACAAATTCAAAATGATGAGCTAGAACGCAGAAGTTCGATTCAGCTCATCAGTGGCTCAAGGAATACAAAGAGATATGTTAGATCTTTCGATGTTAATCGTAATGCTTTAGTCAGAATGCTTTGGTCAGCCATAGGAGAGCCAGACGCTAAAAATAATATGGAGCTTTGCGTACCCTTTTAAATCACAGGCGGGAGGAGTGTCCGGTTCGTTCTGACAAGGGGTCTTTCAGGACATGGAGCGCTTTTTCGAAATGGTTTTCTGCATGTTGTAGGGGCTCATGCGAGGAACACAGAACCATGATCCATTTTTCCTGAACGCCTCCAGGAATGTCAAAACAGTGGTGAAGAAATGGTCCAGAGTTCGATCCCCGGTGATGACTAATTTTTGCAATATAGTTTGGCGGCCCCAGATTGCGGCCAAATGGCTCCACCGTCGACAATACAGGGTGGGGCAAAATTACTGGTGCACCTATACGTTTTGAATTTTTTAACACTTCTTGGAGATTTTCCTGTTTCACTCGCTTGTGATATGTTGCCTGGAGGTTGCGTAATTCCTACGTACTCGAATACAAAATGGTCCGTCGTTCTGACCTACGGAGCGCGATCATCAAACTTCACAACGACGGCAAGCAAACAAGAGAAATTGTGAAGATCCTTTCCGTACCTCGAAGGACGGTTCAGAATACAGTACGACGCTATAAAGAACTGAAGACCGAAGAGGACAGGGAAGGAAGAGGACGTCCCACAACAGCTACGAGTCGGAGAAATGTGAGGCTCGTCAGAGAAAGAATTCGAAGGAACGCCAGGAGATCGATGCGCCAGATAGATTACGTGTCGGAGAGTCAAACAGACATGAGCTCCATGGGAGCATTAAAGCATGCAGAGCACTATAAGTCTCACCATCAGCTTATTATCCTTAATCGACGCTATCCGGACGGCGCTTTTGCTCCGCGGCATAGATCAAGAGTATAGACAATAGCCAAAAACTTTGTTACAGTGTAGTGCAAAAACATGGTCTGTCTTCGATGATGAAACATTCCTGAAATCCCGAGGAGAACAAAGTGTAGAGCAGTTCATGGGAAAGTGAAACAAGAGTGCCATATAACAGCACAATACAACTCAATCAGGATACTAACACCTTCTTCAGGAAAACAGAAGACTTTCAAATGCGAGTGCGAATTCTGCCCACAGATAGGTGCACGGCGTATACCCGAGCAGGCGTTTTCCATAAAAACGCCTCCTCTGTCAGCGGCCGTAAGCAGACAAACTTTCTGAAGAGAGTTTTCGATGCTTTCAAATTAAATCTAAGCGAAACAAAGTGTAGGCGAATTCGCGGACAATTGATTTCTGGAAAATTGAAGCATACCCGAGAATTCAGGAAAATTCGAACGGTTGGTTACGAAGTTATACAATTCCACAGCTGTTATGAAGTACTCTTCGAGTGGATTCCAACAATCTTTACCGCTTCTCATCACATTAATTTCAAAGGAAGTTATGGGCCTTTAAAGACTGCATAGTCGCGGTCCAGGAAAAAGGCTTGAAAAAAATCAAGGTGGAATTGACGGAACAACGGGACTATTTTGAGCGAGTGATTATTTCAAGAAGTTTTAGCACTTATTCGAAAGCTCTAATCCTCTAGTTTCTAATTAGCCTTAGACATCTGCAAAATGTTGAGTATGAAGAAAGTTATTAACGTTTGAATGTCGAAAACTCGCGCCTTCTCAAAAATCGGACCCCAAACCACCCAGAACGGAACAACGGGACTATTTTTTGAAAAAATGATCGCTGGAAAATTTTCAGGTGCTTGTTCGAAAGCTCTAATCTTCTAGTTTCTAATTAGCCTTAGACATTTGCAAAAAGTTGATTATGAAGAAAGTTATGAATGTTTGAATGTCAAAAACTCGCGTGTGCACAGAAAACGGAACAACGGGACGATTTTTGAAATACTGAACATCCACAACATTTCAAATACTCCTCAGGAAGAAAACTATTTATATTTTTAAAATTTTGGTGTCCGATTTCATGAAACAGCTTCTGAAAGAAAATATAACCTTCTGAATGGAGGGGTTTGGATTGCAATGTAATTGCTACAAGGTTTAGTTTTTCAGATTATAAGGTAAGGAAAGTTGAGAGATCGAAAAAATCCTGGTGGGTTTCTGAAAGTAGAAATCTTTACGATTAAAATGATGTATTGGTTTACGCAAAAATTTGGAAATTCCTTCTATTTAATGAATAAAACTTCATTTGCCTCGATTTCCTCCTCTGAGCGAGACAGAGCGCGCGGATTGACCACGGTCCACCACTTCTCCATGTTGGTGACTGCCATCATTGATGAGCATTGATGAGCATTAAATTATGTGAAAGACATGATAGTTAATATGGGGGGTCGTACCGATACCCCCGAAAAGGAAGGGGGTCGTAAAAATTTGGGAATTTGCGCAACGCAGGGTTGACCCTGCTACCACCAAGGCAAGACTCCAGGAAAGAGCGAAACACCCCCAGTCCATTCTTGTTTGGGGAGGAGTCACCTCTACGGGGAAGACCCCACTTGTTTTCGTTGAAGCTGGTGTAAAAATCAACGCAGAGGTTTACAAAAATATCCTGGAGGAAGTTCTCAAGCCGTGGGCCAACTCCCATTTCGGAGAAGCTTCCAGCAGGATTCTGCTCCAGCACACAAAGCAAAGATGGTCCAGGAGTGGTGCGCCGAGCACCTGCCCGACTTCATCAGACACGACGAATGGCCCTCCAGTTCTCCTGATCTAAACCCGATGGATTACTCTGTGTGGTCCATCTTGGAGAGCAAAGCGTGTTCTACCAGACATCCAAACTTGGACTCTCTTAAGGCGGCGCTTTCAAAATCTTGGGACGAAATCGATGACCAGTACCTGCGTGCCACATGCGAAGCATTTGTCGAACGTCTGAAGGACTGTGTGAAGGCTAAAGGAGATCATTTTGAGAAGCATTAACATTTTTTGTATTGTCATGTTTGTAGTAAATAATATTGATAATTAGAATTGATTTGTGAGAATTATTGTCAAAATGCCATTGAAAATTTAGTGCACCAGTAATTTTGCCCCACCCTGTAGATGTAACTGTGGCGTTTTGCGGCACGTTGGAGGCTCCAACACAATTTGCAAAAATTGTCATCATGGAGGATCGAACTTTGGACCATTTTCTTCTCCCCCGTTTTGAGACTCCTAGGGCATTCAGGAAAAATGGGCCATGATTCTGTATTTCTCGCATGAGAATCTACAAATACCAGAGAACTATTTTGAAAAAAGCTCCATGTCCTGAAAGACCCTCCTTGTGAGGGAAAGTAATCTCAATTTTGAGTGTATAGCAAAGCTTGTCTTCCATTGTCGGTGTACATGCTAGTACCAGTCGTCATGGCTCATGGCTACCCTGTTTTTCAAAGTTGGGACAAAATCTCGATATTCTGATATTCTTGTACTACAGGAGCTAATTCAGTGCTCTGGTCACAAAAATTGCACTCACTTCGGTAACAACGTGATTCAAAATATGGAAGAAATCAATCCTAAGTCGTCTGCAAGTGAGCACAGCACCTTTCCCACCCACCTGTCTCCCTACACTCAACTTCGTAAAACCTGAACGCAAACGCCCTGTGCTTGGAAACCTATGCTCTAGTTCAAGCTTTAAAACACTTCACCTCTCGAAAACTTCCTTGCACTGCTTTTTTACATTCACAGAGTTACTCCGTTTGAGCATTATCTTTTTGTTTCATCCAACTATCATCTGTATCATCATTATCTCTCATCCGATTATCCATCGAGGTCCTCGAGCTGGCGGCAGTATTGTCCCATTTGTCCCTGTCGCGTTTCAGAGTGCTCTAGTGGGTGCATGGTGGACACGCACCGCGCCATTATTTTCATTTAATGATTACGAGAAGAAGTGTGGTCATGGGGCCAGCAGTCGTCTTAGTGTTCGGAAGATCCAGTTGGTATCCACACTGGAAAACGTTCGTCATGGAATCTAGACGTGTCTGTCCAACTGATGTTGGGAGCGGAAACGGCCGTATTGCTCATCTTTGACTCTTGACGTAATTCCGAAAACTGGATTTCCTCTATATTTGCAAATATAAGAACACGAAGCATCCTACATGGATTAGAGAAGTTCTACAGGGAAGATCATACCTTCTTCAAGGTCATCGTCGGCGACTTCAACGCTAAGATTGGCCCAAGAAGAACGGCTCACATCGGTACTCACGGAATGGAATGGAATGAGCAGGGTGAGAGACTGTCGGAGTTTATCATGTCGACCAACACCATCCATGGTAACTCACAGTTCCAAAAGCCCTCTCACCTTCGTTGGACTTGGGAGTCACCTGATGGACAGTTCCATAACGAGATAGACCACATCATCTTCAATCGAAGGTTTTGCCTGACCGACGTCGCTGTTGTTCCAAAGTTCTACACGGGATCGGACCATCGTCTCCTCCGCGCAAGATTCCACTTCTCGATGCGTGTTGAGAGAGCAGCAAAGTTCAGGAAGCGAAATCCCAGGACAGTCATCAACTGGGACCACTTTACTACTCCCGTCAGCACATACATAAAGAGGAGTACTATCGGCTCTTTGGCATCTTCACAGGAGTGTCTCCGAAAACTCTCGAGCTGATACGCCAACGTGGAGCCGCACGAGCTGCAGGCAATCACCAACTCACGTCCGAGCTTGCGAAGCTATGCAGAGAGGCGATAAAGGAAGATCTCAAGGAGCGAAGAGCAGCAGTATTAGCTGAAGCAGCAGAGGCTGGGAGGAGCATCCGCAATGCCCGCCGAAGCTATGCCAGCTACAAGACCAAGATGACCTGCCTCCTCCGACGTCTGGATGGAACAGATGCTGCAGGCTCCGAAGGGCAACGAAGAAAGCTAAGTTATGGGCGCACTTCTTTTCGAATGCTCTATCAAAGCCTATTCTCGCTGCCC